CCTGGAGAGCAACACTGGCTTCGCTCTCTCTCACGTCTCAGTGACGTTGCGTTAGCTACAGTTTGATGCGGTGGTGAGCTTCACATGAGTCTGAGGAAACTTCCTTCCCAGTGCTGGTGGTGTTGTGTAATTGGGGGAGTCCTAACTAGTGGTTAGAACTGGATGTGACTAAATTGGGAGGAAAGTGACTGAACAGAAACGCTTCCGGTGTTTATCCTTCAAAAAGTAAACCATTTTTTCATTGTGCTCTCCACTGACACTTAACCTCTATAGGGAGATACAGATGGAACACTGAATGCTGCCATTAACAAAAGGAGAAGAGAAAAAAAAGGGCATAATAGATTAATCATTTGTGTTGAGCTGCAGCTTTGCCTCGTATTCATCATTTGACCAGAAATATTTTCATTTTCTATTTTTTAGTTATAATTATAACCAACAACAAAGCCCAGCTTTACTTCACTGTCCTGATTCTTGTTTTGCACTGTTCAGATAACTTTGGTCATAAAATATACATGTTTATATAAATCTTGATCCAACTGATTTCTAATAGAATTGGTGGTTAAAGTAGAGGAGTAGTGCTGGAGCAGAGCAGCTGACGCTTGACTAACCACTGAATGCTTTATTTGACAGGCACAGGTGAAGGAGTTCAGACAGAAGCAAGGAGAGGCCATGGAGTAGAGCCAGCTTTGATGGAGAACATGGTCACATGGGCTGTGTGTCTGACGCTGGACTGAAATTTGGAAATACCTAGAATGCTGCAGTGTTGAGGAGCATACGGTTCCTATTTAGAGCTCTCCTGGCCAATGGACTTGTACAGTGTCTTTTTGTTTTTTTTTTTTGTTTTTTTTTCAAAAATGATTTTTTATCTTAAAAATGTGCTTTTGGCTGTGATTCATGAGCACAAACTCTCACAAGTAGGTCATTAGTTTATGAAGATGTATTACATTTTTTTGTGCAGTTCTTCAGAAACTCCACTGCTTTGTTTTGCAGGCTGTGCTTTAAGAAATGAAGCAGTTACCTGAAATGAGTTATTCGTTTGTTTGTCTGACCGCTGTGGCGTTAGAGTGATTGTTGGATTTCACTTGACTTTGTTCAGTTAAGAGATTCCTAGAAAAGCTCCCGGTCAAGTATAATCTGCTAATTATGGGCCCAACTCATCCAAACTGTAGACTCGTTCAGTGGCAGCGTCAGAACTGAGGACTGCAGACGTGTGACTGTACTTTTACAAGATTAAACATCACATTTTCATACAGCTGTATTTCATGCATCCTGTTTCACAGAGAGGTTTTTAAGGGTTTTACTTGAACTCAGTCAACTCAGTCAAATAGAGCCACAGTGCTGCTCTGTTTATCTCCCCCTACAAACTACACTAAAACAAACACCTGGACACACCACCACACTGAGAAGACCACCGTGTGATAAAATAGCATTTATTGCAGCTTATTTGACAATAAGTAGGTACAGTATAAAAGCATTGTTAATAGTAAAAATAACAGTGTAAGAAGGAATAAACATACGAGTTTGTAAGATTGTAAGTAAATCAGTTCTCTATACATGAAAATATTTTAACACAGTATTTGGACTTTATGTAATAGGCAGTCCAAAACTGAGAGAACCCATTCATAAAAATGTAATAATAGAAAAATATTTTTACTCCTCACAAAGCTTTAAGACCAGTTTCACAATTTTACAGGTAAATTTCACCTGAAAAACAAAATCATATTCACCTTGAATTCTAAAAATGATTGAGGTAAAAAGCGATTTGAACCACCACACACTGCGCACGACACAGACCGCCTGTCCTCGGGTTTCGAAATGGACAGAGAACGTTTAGAGAAGTTTGACCAAACAAAACCAGGCATGAAGCTTTTTCTCATCTCATCCTTTACCAGCCCAGAACTCCCTCTCAGCACAGCAACAAAGTCAGCGAAGTCAAATATGAAAATGTTTTTGAGGTAAAATTTCCCTTTAAGTTTCAGACGAAAAGCAGGCAGAGATTCACAACTGTAACATTTAGGGGTCGAGTCGAAAGCCCCTAAAGTTAATAACAGTGCATCTGTTTAAAATATCACTTTAATTCAGTGACTAAGAACACATAACTCAAAATATAAACGTGCATATGGGTAATGAACATATACATAAATGGGACCTATCTTCACACAGCTTACACAGAATGATGGACGGACAGGTCAGTCTAGTTTTCTGAGTCTTAACGAAGCCATAATGATTCACTCAGAGGCAAAATTCAATCAGAATCTGATCTAAATTTCATTCTAACTTTGTTGTTTATCACCACAGTAGAGATGCTTCATTGTTTAGAGAACCTTCTAAATTTTGAGGTTTGTTACGACTGAACAGCTCAAACTGGTTCGGTCAGAACCAGCACTGCACTATTACAGCAAGTTTTTAGCCCAGAAACACTAAAGAATTCCACAGCGATTTTGAGGGGAATCTCAATGGTGTCAATCAGAATGATGTTTAGGTGAGATGATGTGATGCAAATGATGTCAGCTGATCTACAGACAACCTTCATTCATTACACTGAATCTGCTGCTATTGCATGACTCCTCAAAATGGCTTCAATTGTTGCACTGCAGTGCAGTCACACATGTACAAGTGTAACCTGTGGTGCACAGTGCTTTCCTTCTGATCTAGTGTTGTTATAACAACGTGTAATGGCAGTGGTAGTTCAGTAACGGTGTAAGTACACAGGTAAAAGAGTCTCGCTATGCACAGAGACTCAGCTTTCAGTAATGCTCCACCAGCAAGACCCCTTTTTGTTTTACGGCCTGTCCTTTGGTTTGATGATGGAGGCCAGCAGTGCGTTAAGCATTACGCCCCCTCCAGTACAGTCTCAGCATTTCAGTCTTTTCCTGTGTATCTGGTAAGAGACTCCTAGACCCGAGTCACTCAGCAGCGGTTCCACGTTTAGACTTCCGGTATCCAGCCGGTGTCGTCTGCGTGGGCCTGAAGTGACTCTGCGAAGCCAGTTTGTGTGATTTCTGCGGACTGACTGGCGATTGTGGCTGGAAAACTCCTTTTATGGCAAAGACTGAGTGACATCTCTCAGTTCTGACATCCTGGTGAAGTGACTCCTCGGGACTGAGGAGAATCGGTTGGAACTCTAGATTGCGATGTACCCCACTGCAGTGAGGGTAAGGCTTGGACATGTCACTGTGTTGTTGACGGAGCTACTCGCCCCCGGAGCTTATGCTGATGCATGTGGTTTTAAGATGAGCTGTATTTCTGACTGGAACGTGAGCTGGACCGGTCCAGCCCGTTCCCATGACACGAGCCCTTCCAGCGTATCCCTGAACCCCGCTCATCAATCGGAGTGATATTCCTCTGGCACCAGCAGCAAAGGCAAGACTGAGGGGTTAGAAACAGAGTGAGACACCACAGTGATTAATCCAGTGCTGATTCAGTGGGAGAGACAGTGGGAGAGACAGTGGGAGAGACAGTGGGAGAGGTTTTTATATTCTTCACTGTTAGAAACACTAACAAAGCGGCTATTTCTTCATTTTAAAGAGGAATTCCACAGAATTCCGACAGATTGAGATGTAAAAAGTCATCCTAGGTGTCTGATGTGAAATGGTGTATTATAGATGAAATAATCTCCGATGATGGGAACCTGGGATCACAGGAGAAACTAATAAAGCCATTTTATTTACTGTCCAAAACAACTAAGTTTACTCTCACAAACATGACAAATACTGGAATCCAACTACTGATTAACTAAACAATTAAAATCACTAAAATAATAAGTTTAGTGGATAATTAACAAATAATCCTGAATGATTTAATTGATTTTAGATAGATTTTTAGTAATATTTTCTCATTAAAGTGACCAAATTTTCATTATAGCAACAAAAACAATATTTGCACATCACGTTGTAAAGTTTTTTCTCCCCAGTTTTTATCTTCTCATCTATCTTTCTTATCTACAGATTCTTCATAATCTATAAACTGTTGTTGGAATAAGATTTTTAAATCTGATTATTAACATACAGTGGTGTGAAAAAGTGTTTTCTTATTCTTTTGCATGTTTGTCACACTTAAATGTTTCAGATCACCAAACAAATTTAAATATTAGACAAAGAGAACACCAGTAAACACAAAATACAGTTTATAAATGAAGGTCTTTATTATTGAGGGAAAAAGAAATCCAAACCTACAGGGCCCTGTGTGAAAAAGTGATTGCACCCTAAACCTAATAACTGGTTGGGCCACACTTAGCAGCAACAACTGCAGTCAAGCGTTTGCGATAACTGGCAATGAGTCTTTTACAGCGCTGTGGAGGAATTTTGGCCACTCGTCTTTGCAGAATTGTTGTAATTCAGCCACATTGGAGGGTTTCCGAGCATGAACCGCCTTTTTAAGGTCGTGCCACAGCATCTCAATCAGATTCAGGTCAGGACTTTGACTAGGCCACTCCAAAGTCTTAATTTTGTTTTTCTTAAGCCATTCAGAGGTGGACGTGTGTTTTGGATCATTTGTCCTGCTGCAGAACCCAAGTGCGCTTCAGCTTGAGGTCACGAACAGATGGCCGGACATTCTCCTTCAGGATTTTTTGGTAGACAGCAGAATTCATGGTTACATTTACCACAGTAAGTCTTCCAGGTCCTGAAGCAGCAAAACAGCCCCAGACCATCACACTACCACCACCATATTTTACTGTTGGTATGATGCTCCTTTTCTGAAATGCTGTGTTACTTCTACGCCAGATGTAACGGGACATACACCTTCCAAAAAGTTCAACTTTTCTCTCGTCAGTCCACAGAGTATTCTCCCAAAAGTCTTGGGGATCATCAAGATGTTTTCTGGCAAAACTGAGACGAGCCTTTATGTTCTTTTTGCTCAGCAGTGGTTTTCATCTTGGAACTCTGCCATGCAGGCCATTTTTGCCCAGTCTCTTTCTTATGGTGGAGTCATGAACACTGACCTTAACTGAGTCAATTGAGGCCTGCAGTTCTTTGGATGTTGTTGTGGGGTCTTTTGTGACCTCTTGGATGAGTCGTCGCTGCGCTCTTGGGGTAATTTTGGTCGGCCAGCCACTCCTGGGAAGGTTCACCGCTGTTCCATGTTTTCGCCATTTGTGGATCATGGCTCTGACTGTGGTTCGCTGGAGTCCCAAAGCTTTAGAAATGGCTTTATAACCTTTTCCAGGCTGACAGATCTCAAACACTTTGTTTCTCATTTGTTCCTGAATTTCTTTGGATCGCAGCATGATGTCGCGCTTTTGAGGATCTTTTGGTCTACTTCACTTTGTCAGGCAGGTCCTATTTAAGTGTTTTCTTGATTGAGAACAGGTGTGGCAGTAATCGTTGGATTTCTTTTTCCCCTAATAATAAAGATCTTTATTTATAAACTGCATTTTGTGTTAACTTGTGTTGGCTTTGTCTAATATTTAAATTTGGTGAGCTGAAACATTTAAGTCTGACAAACATGCAAAAGATTAAAAAATCAAGAAGGGGACAAACACTTTTTCACACCACTGTATTTATATTAATACACAATATTATATTAAATGCATTTTAGCCCCTAAAACAAAACCTTTAGACACCCTTGTTTTAGAGGCATTAAAAAGTCTGGTTCCAACCACCACAGCAGAAAAAGTGGTGGAATTCCACTTTAATATCTTAAGTCTTTTCTTTTATTAATGTGATTTCTCAGTGTTGGCATTGCAATATAATGGATATGCACAGAACATCATCTAACAAGGCAACATTTCAAAGATTCTCCTATTTTTTGTGTCACAAACAACCATTTTGGGCCAAAAAACAAAGCATAGGACTGTAATTTACACTTCAGTTGCCTTTTCTTGTTATTGTTGATAATATATATATATATATATATACACACAAACACCGATCAGGCATAACGCTGCTGTGTCTGATCCACTCGTACCAGCACAACACACACTAACACACCACCACCACGTCAGTGTTACTGCAGTGCTGAGAATGATCCACCACCCAAATAGTACCTGCTCTGTGGGGGTCCATGGGGGTCCTGACCACTGAAGAACAGGGTAAAAGGGGGCTAACAAAGTATCGGAGAAACAGATGGACTACAGTCTGTAACTGTAGAACTACAAAGTGCACCTATATAGTAAGTGGAGCTGATAAAATGGACAATGAGCGTAGAAACAAGGAGGTGATCATAATGTTATGTATGATTGGTGTATATAAAATATGTCGCTGTTGTCTGAAGAAAATCTATATATATATATATATATAATCACAGTAGCACACAGAAAACTACAGTTCCACATGTAGCTACATTGTACATTGTCCAGTGAGTTATTGATGCCGACACACTCCTTCTTCTCTTGTTCTTACCTTGAAACAGTTTTTGAACTTCTGGCTGATGAAGTACAGCGCCACAGGGTTGATGCAGGAGTTGAGGGAGGCCATGTTGATGCCAATGTAATCCATCACCAGCAGGAAGCTAGGGTTCAAAGGGGAAAGGGGGGGGAGAGGTAAACAGGAACCATGAGGTGTCCATGAACTGCACTAGAACCACAGTTCCTCATCAGAAGAGCTGCTGACTGCACACTTTTTATCTAAAGTCATCAGAGCTAATAAATCATCAGCAATGACACTGTTGACTACATTCAGACTGTCAGCAGATGATCGTGGAGGGGAGGAGCCGCTACCTGAGGAGCTCACAGCGGTTGGGGTCACTGGGATCGTAGACGGTCTTTTTCAGAATACGGCTGAGGTGCAGAGGCAGCCAGCAGAGAGCGAAGATCACCACCAGGCAGAAGACCGTTTTCGCCACTTCCCTCCGCTGAAAAAGAACAACAGCAGAACAAGAACCTGGTTTAGGTTCTATCAAAGAACGTGAACGTCTGAGATGATGGAGAATGTGGCTCTAATGAAATGAGAGGCATCAAAAGGTTTTGACACCTGCTTCATATGATCGTTGAGGGCGATGCGCATCCCTTTCTTCCGGTTCAGCATTTCACACGACATGAGGGTGTAGAAGACGCCAGTGCAGGCCAACGGCAGGCAGAAGTAAAAGCCGAACAGCCACCAATCCTTCACGTCCTGATAAAACTGTGAAGACAGAAAAAAGTGTCCAGCACAACTCAGAATGGCTAAAACCTGCATTTAGCTGCTGTCGGAAGAAAACCTTCATCTCCAAAATGGTAACAATGGAGAAGGAAAAAACCTACTTTACTTCTAATGTAAGTCAATGGAACCAGACTTTTTTCCAAGTCATTTTGGGCCGTTTTCTTTTGGTCCATTCATCATGAAATTTACACACAATGTAAAGGACAGCAGGTACTTTCAAATGTCAAAAACTGGAAAACATCAAAAATGGAGATACGAGGTTTTCTTTCGACAACAGTGATACGCTTCAAATTCAGAGCTAAAGATGTTTCACAGTAAAGCCACAGAGGCCATGGTGCCTGACCAGCATAATCAGAATGATGACACCATTCAACTTAGACCACCAACCTCCACTTTTTTAGAATCCGTGTTTGTGCATGACCGTGTGGTGCGAGATGAGGCTGAGTGGTCTTTGTGGCTGGATGTGCAGCAGCATGGCTGTACCTGCATGAATGGCGTGCTCTGTTGAGGATGTAGCAGGCACACCCGCAGCTTCCTGCCTCTGTAAGTAACCTCCAACATGTCGAAGGCCAAAGCCTCAGGCACTGCCAGCACTACGGACACCAGCCAGATGAGTGTTACTTCCAGAACCTTCCATAATGGAATCCCCATCCCCTTCACTCGACTCCAGGAGGTCACAGCATGATATCTGATGGTCACACAGCAATGTATGGTTTATGAAGGCTCATCACAACAGCACTGAAATAACTGAAACACTAGCTTCATAATGAAAATCAGCTCGTAATAAGCTTAGAAATAGTAGAACAAGTTTACTGGGTCATGCTGAAGTTATTTCAGTCTTTCCCACATGCAGGATACGCTTAGGCTTATGAACTGAGCTTGTTTCCATCAAACTGACTTTTAGCGACAAAAAGGCTTTACATAATGACGGTAACTTAAAAAACTTGCATAAATTTTAGTTTATCAATAAAGTTGTGCTTGACATGTTTCTATCGCTAATTTCATGCGTTGCAATTTATTGTCCTGTGTTATTAGGAAATGTTCATTTTTTCATTTATTTATTATCATTATTATGATTTTTATTTATTATAAAATATAACATAAAATATTACCAGCAGTTCCTGTTTCCATGGCCCACATGGCTAAACCTTTTAAAGCCTTTTAACCTTTAACCTTTTAAATGTTAAATTCTTTTTTGTATAAAATTCTTTGGATGAAAATGTAGCTGTTGATACAAAGCATCATACTTTTTCTCAGTGGTCGACAATGATGCTAATTTTGGATATCTACATAACCCCCCGCCCCCCAACACACACACACACACACACACACACACACACACACACACACACACACACACACACCCAAAATAAGTTGTCAGACCACACAGTGTTTTTGTTACTTGCTCTCAGTCAAGCATCTTATGATCCCCTCGAAACACTAGCTTCATAATGAAAAAGAAAAGAAGGAAAGGAAATATATTTCATGTTTTCTGGGGATGTGCACCAGGGAAAGAGGTGAAAATAAGAGTGTCTACAATCTAGATTGTTAGCACTGGCGTAGTGGTGAACGGACTGTATTGGACAGTCTTTGACTAACCTGTCGATACTGAGAGCACACAAGCTAAGAACTGTGATTCCCACTGAGGCCTTCTGGACGAATGGCATGAGTTTGCAGATGTGCACACCAAATGGCCAGTCTTCTGCCAGCAGCTGGAGAGACAATACATTTTTTACATCAGTTACATTCGACAATACTGAAGTATCAGAAGTCAGAAACATCCCTATTCTTTAAATACAAGCTTTCATTTCTAAAGTACTTCTGAGGGGATTTGATGTAAGATTATTTACTTGCATAAGGAACAGGAAGGTTTTCAAAACTGGAATTCAAAAATTACTAAAAGATACAGAGAAAATGAAGCTCATAAAAACCAAGCAAGACTGGTCGACACCAAAACTGCCCCCATCAGATAAACAGCACTTAAAGCTTTCATCTTTGAGAGAGAGGAGAAAATCAAGCTGATCAGATCTGAAAACATCCACAGGTGTTTCTTTCCATCAAACAAAGAAGCTGAACAACGGACTGACCAGCCCTGAGTCCAGACCTCAACATAACTGAATGTGTTTGGGATTATTCGGATCGTGAGAAGCAGAAAATGCAACCAACTTCTAAGACTGAACTACAGAAGTGTGGAAAAAATCCCTGCAGATTTCTTTGAAAAAATGAAAGCAAGTCTCCCAAAAAGTATGAAAGCTGTAAAAAAGACAAAGTGTGGACACTAAATATTAAAGTAAATTATATTTCATACACTGGAAAAACAAACTCAATGGCCATTTCAACTGGAAGTTAACCAAACAAAAGGGTGGTCTTTGACTTTTGTTCGGTGCTGTATGTGACAAAATTGACATATAGTCAAAACACTTCAAGACGATTTCAGGAATAATAATATTTTAACACATACAGTGAAGGGTAGAGTTTATATTTTCACTATTGCTAAAGAAAGACTGGACAAATGAACCAGCAGAAACATCAGTGTTTCTAAATACATGTTGCTGAGCTCGATTTCACAGGAGGCATTTGACTCTGGTTATACTGAAGATGGAGAAGCAAAACTTCAGCCAGTGTAAATAACAGTCTTTAGGCTGCTTTTTTGAGCTTTACTTGAATATAAAGTAGGGCAGTAAAGTAGCATAGAAGTTGTGAAAAGCAATAAAAAGTTTCACAAAAAAGAAAGTAGCACAGAAAATCTCAGATAGTCAGTAGCTTTAAACAATGACCCACTGACCATGAAAGAAAATCTACTGTCAGTGGAGTCACCACAGGAACATCATCTACTCAGGTCTACACACGAGGACTAGATGCTCTATAATGCAAACAAACCCACAACATGTCATGTATTTACATCAGCTTCATTTTCAGGGCGATAAAACATGGAACACCATGTAGATGCAACACTTCAATATTCCTCTTTAGATTTCCTCGCTGTGATGACAGCGCGATGTTCTGCGGAGGGTTAGGTCTGTAAACCAGAAAGTAAACCGCTCAGCTGGGCGGTGAGGTCAACGCCTTTCCCTGTGTTGAAGCTAGAGCACAGAACTAAGCCTTCTAGTACATAATAGACCGATCTGTCACTCTAGGAATGGTCTCTGGCTCTAGTGTTGCATCTGCCTCCACCTGTGTGTCCTGCATAACCAGAAGTCATAAGCCAAGAATTTACTATGTGGACACAACTGTCTTTTAATGCGCCGAGTCTTAAATCCAATTCTTTCTAAGTATATTACAGTCGCCTTCTTTTGGACTGGGGCTGTCGGCCCATCGCAACCTAATTATGACTCATCCTCACCTCATGGTGTGTGACTGTATTTAGGCTTTAAAGTGCTAAAAATGGATTGCACCATTTTAAATAGTCTTTTTCTCACAACCCTTAGACTGTATGACACCAGTGCTTCGTCGCTGAGGACTCCTACCTTAAACACGTTGATGGGGATGGCGACGAGGATGTAGAGCAGGTCACCCAAAGCCAAACTGCCAATCAGCACGTTGGGCCCGTTCCTCATGCACTTGTTCTTGTAGATGATGCGTAACAATGTTGAGTTTCCAATGATGCCCACCACGAAAATCAAGCACGATATGACCGTGTTGACATACTTGAAGGCTTCTTTGATCTCGGTGGGTTTGGTGCACATAGGTAGGAATGGGCCGCGGGGAGGACTCCGCATCACAGGCCGCTCGGCTTCGGAGGTGTTCCATCCCGCAGCCTCAACCTCCTGATTGGCAGTGTCGCCGAGGCTCACTTGGGTGGAGTCCCGGCTGAAACGCGAGGCCCAGGAGCAGCCGGCCAGCAGCAGAATCACCAGCCCCACTGCCTTCATCCTCTACGGGGTGGTGATGAAAACACAGACCAGTTCGGTCCTTCAGAAACTGTCCAACCTGAGCCAGAAACCACACTGTGTTAGATAATACAAAACCTGAAACATGTAGTGGAGTTTATTTAAAAAGCTAGAACAAGTCTTCACTGGGAGAGGTCACACAGTGTCCTGCAAGACTGATTGTCTTACATGTTTCTCAGCTGGAGCTCCCTGAAACATATCCAGTGCAGCCTGGACCACACGGTCAAAGGAAAACACATCACAGATCTCAGATCTTTACCACAGAAATTAAATCAAAACATCAACACGGACCACCATCTTTCACAGTATCTTACCTAGGACTGTTCATATTGATCAGAATAGCAATCAAGTCATCTACTGATTATACTGACGACTAATCGAGTAACAACGCAAATGAACTAAACTGAACAATAACAAACCATCCACTGTATTTCTGAGATTTATTTGAAAAAAATTTACCAGAAAGCTTAAAATACATACAGAGGTTTGTGCAGAAGACAGAGACCTTTTATCTAAGTCAATTTTTAAGGAGATATTTCTGGTGAGATTAGACATGAGATCCACTTGCACAAGGAAAGTGAAAATTAAATAAAAATAATTGAAAAAAAACAAAAAAAAACAGGAGTTTTCACGACTGGAATTCAAAAAAATATAAAAAGATATAGACAAAATGGGCAGACTGTCCACCCCAGAGTCCAGACCTCAACATCACTGAATGTGTTTGGGATTATTTGTATTGTGAGAACCAGAAAATACAACCAACTTCAAAGACTGAACTTGGATATAGAAAAATATCCCTGTAGATTTCTTTAAAAAACAAAAGTCACTCAAAGCTGTCAGAAGGGAAAAGGAAGACACACCAAAAACTGAAAAACTGATATCACACTTAGTTGTCATTATACTTTGGCTTCTGTGTGATTTTCTGTGAAATGAATGTTTCCTGGTTTTTTCCCTGATGGCTGTTTTCACAAGAAATCAAATGAATGCAGATCAGTCTTCGACTTTTACACAGTGCTGTATGTAACAAATGGGCGTGTCTATCAGGCTCTGTTTACTCATGTAATCACAGCAGCCTTAATCTTATCTGTGAGCATTTATATAAAAGACAGAACCCAAATTAGACAAACAAGTTATTAAAATGTACGACTGTCTTTCACACGTATTCCTTCGCTTTTGTCTCTTATCTGTGAGCAAAACAATTAGCGCCCAAATTAGATCATGTGCTCACGTCACGGTTTGGTTGGCATTTCAGAGGAATATCCAGGCCTACGATATTATATTTGACTATGTTGGCTTGATATCAGCTTGTAAACAGTGATAACCCGAGTCCTACTAGAAGGTCGCTGTGTGACAGTTTTTTGAACTCTATAAGCGCCACCCTCTGGTTCTTCATAAAAGCCCCCCCCCGGCCCCCCCGGGCCCCTCCGGCCCCTGAATATTATTATATTACTTCTTGAGGGCTGGGCTGGGACTATAGACACAGAGGGCCTTTCTCTTTCTTGTCTTAAGGGCATCAGAAGTCATGTGTGCCGTCCCTCCGTATGAATAGCTTGATTGATTGACCAGTAAAACATATGTGGCACTACTTGAAAACTGGCAGGCCCAACTACTAATTGTTGAACGATGCTGAAAATAAGAGCATTGTATGAATTTGGGCATGGCTGCGTTATTATCACAATATGATACTGTGTGATGATGCTGTATGTTGCGCTTGTTATTTGGCAAAAAGCTACGCACTACTGAGCTGTGCTGTGTTGAGCTGCGCTGCGCTGTGCTGTGCTGACCTTCCACACTGCTAAAAAACTAAAAAAGTATCACTGTAATTCACTGACAATCATTTTTGAGTTTTAAATTGATCTCTAAAATGAGGGCAAATCATGTTCCTTAAGGGCTGAATTATAGTAAACAGCTACTAATAACAGACCAAACAGCAAAGGGACGACATGATACAAAGGAGCTAATGTAGTGGTCAGACAATGGCATTGAAAATGAAGATAGGCAGCTGAGGTGGAGGCCAGAGGCCATTAGTCACGACCTTGTGCAGATATGAGGGGGAACACTCTGATTACTTCAGACACCCAAAAGTCTTTTGGGAAGACATAACAGAACAGCTTCCCTGCCAGCATGTACCGAATCATTAAGTTATCCCAAAGTGGCCTCAGGGCAGTGCTGAGTTTTTGAATCCTTCTATTGTTTTTCCCAAATGGGAACTTTGACCGACAGTGTTTTCACACAGGGGGCTGAGAAAGTCCCACAGAAAACAATCAGTTTCAATAAGAGAAAATCCAGCTGCGACGGACTGCAAGTTTCCCATCAGTCGTGACTCAAGCATGTTATTGTATTTCTCATTTACTACTTAAATTAAAGCGGCAGCAGCGTTCACCTTCACTTCTCCCAGCAACTACTCAATACAGCGGCTCCATAAAGTAACTGGACACCATTTCATCTCTGGTAAATTTGAATACATTTTTTTACTTCATAAAATTATTAACAAAATGTGATTTGTTTAAGAGAAAACAGTATCAAACTGAGGGTGGACTCGGAGTGGAGAAAACCTGGAGAGGAACTCCAGCCAGGCTGCACTAAGGCTACTGTAAAGCTCTGAGGCTGTCAGCGAACTCATGTTCATTAATGAACTCATTTCAGTGCATTCTGGGTGCAAACCTGCAGACATCTGCAAAGAAACAGCTCAAACGGTAACCATCTAAAACAATACTGAATAATTAAAAAGTAAACTGCAGCCTTGGAACCGAAAATAAAATAAAAAAAAATAAAACACAAATCATCTGGTTTGATATTCAGTTTCCAACAACCTTAACACATTTTATGCATGGCACAAATGTCCAAATACTTTTTGAGAGGGCACTGTATCCAGCAGCACTTTCACAACCTACAAAACTTGAAAAACTTATCTTAAAATAATAATAATAATAATAATAATAATAATAATAATAATAGTAAAAGCCATCACTTATTCTCTAAATCTTCTATCCATCAAATCAGAATATTCGAGTGGGTATAAACTGATATGGCCACTAAAACTCCTCCTGAAAGCCCTGTTGGTCAGTAATGATGTGGCTCTAGTTCTGTTTGGACGAGGAGCTTTAAAGTGCGGTGCAGTGTAAATGTACTCAGCAGAGACTGAGACCCAGTGGACCCGTTAACCGGCTGAATATAAATGGAAGCTACTTATGTCGAATATTAATGAGCATAACTACAACCTGAGCGCATAAATGTAAACAGACAGCGCTCAAAATGTAATTATAACAGTGATATTTTCCACCGAATATGAACACAGTTAGGAGTCCGATGCTCCTCAGAGCGTCGAACCACAGAGGCAAAACGAGTTTATCCGTCTGTAGCGCGTTTAAACACCGCGGTCGAGCGTTTCTCCACTAAAACAGATCGTCTGGTCCTTTTCTCGGGAACTCAGAGGGAACTTCAGTCAGTTGTGAGTAAAAGCTGCTATGAGCGGTCAGTAAAGTTTACCTTCAGTCCGGGAACGACTTCAGCCCAAACCTCTCCTCTGTTAAAAGCCTCGATTACTCCCGGTGTCGTTCGAGTTGTTGTGCTCGGTGCAGCTTCGTCAGGTGAACCGCTGACAGCGCCGCAGGTTCGGAGCTGTACGGTGTGTAAAGCCGAGTCGGACTCCTTTACGGCCCCGTCCTCCGGTCAGTGATGCTGAACTGCCGCCGCCGCTTCACTCAGCGCTCTTATAAGAGCTGCGGCCGTCAGGAGGACCAATCAGCTGAGACCTCCTCCCAGCACAGTCCAGTCCTGCGTACATCTCACTGACTCTGCCACGCCAGACCCGCCTTAACTGAAGTGTGTCTGTTTGTTTGTTTTGGACGCTGCAGCTGCTGAAGCGAGTCTTTTCGAAAGTAGCGCGAGCTGCACTGTCCTCACACAACAACCGCCTCCCTTTCAAACCCAGCACATCATCAGCCTCACAGACTGGATCTGTGTCACAGACTGGATCCGCCTCACAGACTGGATCCACCTCACAGACTGGATCTGTGTCACAGACTGGATCCGCCTCACAGACTGGATCCACCTCACAGACTGGATCAGCCTCACAGACTGGATCCGCCTCACAGACTGGATCTGTGTCACAGACTGGATCCACCTCACAGACTGGATCAGCCTCACAGACTGGATCCGCCTCACAGACTGGATCTGTGTCACAGACTGGATCTGCCTCACAGACTGGATCCGCCTCACAGACTGGATCTGTCACAGACTGGATCTGCCTCAAAGACTGGATCTGCCTCACAGACTGGATCTGTGTCACAGACTGGATCCGCCTCACAGACTGGATCAGCCTCACAGACTGGATCCGCCTCACAGACTGGATCTGTGTCACAGACTGGATCTGCCTCACAGACTGGATCCGCCTCACAGACTGGATCTGTCACAGACTGGATCTGCCTCAAAGACTGGATCTGTGTCACAGACTGGATCCGCCTCACAGACTGGATCTGCCTCACAGACTGGATCTGTGTCACAATCCAGTCTGGATCTGCCTCACAGACTGGATCTGCCTCACAGACTGGATCTGTGTCACGGACTGGATCTGCCTCACAGACTGGATCTGCCTCACAGACTGGTTCTGTGTCACAGACTGGATCTGCGTCGCAGACTGGATCTGCCTCACAGACTGGATCTGTGTCACAGACTGGATCCGCCTCACAGACTGGATCTGTCACAGACTGGATCTGCCTCAAAGACTGGATCTGCCTCACAGACTGGATCCGCCTCACAGACTGGATCCGCCTCACAGACTGGATCTGTGTCACAGACTGGATCTGCCTCACAGACTGGATCTGCCTCACAGACTGGATCTGTGTCACAGACTGGTTCTGTGTCACAGACTGGATCTGCATCGCAGACTGGATCTGCCTCACAGACTGGATCTGTGTCACAGACTGGATCCGCCTCACAGACTGGATCTGCCTCACAGACTGGATCTGTGTCACAGACTGGATCCGCGTCGCAGACTGGATCTGCCTCACAGACTGGATCTGTGTCACAGACTGGATCTGCCTCACAGACTGGATCTGTGTCACAGACTGGAGGCACAAAGTATCAGACTTTCACACTTAACACAGCGAACAGCTCTCAGCAGCCTCACGAGGCTGAAATCACTTCTTATTCTCCAGCTTCTTGTTCGAATTTGTCCGTTCCACCTTAAATAGAGCAGCAGTTACATTCTAGCGTCTGTAACTGTTGAACCATTTAAGGTGGAATGGAAAAAATCGAATAAGAAGCTGGAGAACAGAATATGGAAGTACAGAAGTCCGGAAAGGGCCATGGGCTGTTGCTATAATTTTCTGGATTGTTTTCTAGAGATAACAAGATAAGTAACCTGTTATTTCAAAATAACAATGTTGTTATCTTAAGATAACGAGCTATTTGTCTTGTTAGCTCAACATAACATTGTCTTGAAATAACTAGTTACTTATCTTGTTATCTCAAGAAAACAAAATTATTATCTTGAGATTATGAGTTATTTATCTTGTTATCTCAACATAACATTATCTTGAAATAACGAGTTGCTTGTCTTGTTATCTCAAGATAACGATCCAGGCAATTATAGCAGCAGCCCCTGGCCTCTCTGGACTTCCGTAACAGAAAGTCAACTTCAACATTTTAATCTTGCAGTTGTGGACTGTCATGAATTCTGATGGAGGGGAACTTTTCTTAGTATAATTGTTCCAGTCGAGTATTTGTGAGGACCAGTGGTCACATATTGATTGACCCCTATAGATTATCTACACATACTCCAATGATTAGGTATCTGATAAAACTCAGTTACAGCTCTGGGTTAAGGTTAGGTTTAAGATTAGGTTATAGGTTTCAGGTTGAAGCTGAGGGTTTAGGTTTAGGGTGGGATTTTATGGGATCTGTTAAGTTCAGTCAGAACTGGAAGTAAAGTCAGGATTGTTCACAGTGGTGGTGATAGGAACCAGACGTCTGCAGAGTTTAATGCCTCTAAAAGCTCCTCACAGAAAACTTTTACATGGAAAGGTAATAAATATGTTGCTTGATGTCTGAGACATCAAAATATCTCTGTTTATAGTGTTTATATTGTAACTCCTCACCATCCCATGTGTAACATAAATCAGAACCTCATGCGCAATTTGGGTAAAATATCCTTACATTGTAAATACTTTTTCTTTTTTATTTATAACTGTTTATATTGTTATTTTTGTGAAGGATAGAGTTTATATTTTTATGTATTTTTTACCTTTTAGTATTATATATATTGTATGTATAGTAATAAGTAACAAACTGTAACCTTGTTAAGTCATTAATATGGTTAATTACTCTGTTGATTCTCTTCTTGTTACTCTTTTCTTCAGTACCTTGCTCTCCCTTTGCTGCTGTAGCACTGAGAATTTCCCAGCTGTGGGACTAATAAAGGATTATCTTATCTTATCTTATCTTATCTTATCCGATAGTTTTGTAATAAGGTTTTGGTCTAAAACTTACCTTTAAAACCACCTTCATGGCGGAGATGTACGTACAGGGCGTTATAAGGCAAAATAGTTCCCAAAAAACTTTTTATGTCATGTTTAACAGTATTTTTCCATTATCAGCATTACATATAAAATCTCAGGAGACACATGTAGGTTTATGGCTATATTTGTATTGTAGACATTGTGACGCCTGGTTCCCATCACCATCAGTGTAAAGAAATATAACAACTGTGTAAATTTCTCTGCAATGTGTCATTTCATATCAATCCACTCTTAGGGTTGAAGAGTAAGGTTAGGGTTGAGTTTTAGTAGAATTACATTCTAGATTTAGTAGAATTGGTTAAATTCAACATAAAGTTCAGTTGCATTGAATAGACTTTTACTCAGTTAGTGACTCAAATTTAGTTCCTACTTCTTTATCGTGGTCTATTTTCATTCTTTTCTGTTGCATTTAACATGTAATTTTAGTTCAGAAGGATAGCAAAAACGGAAGAATTGTATCTAACCAACTTCATTGTCTATGCTGATAGATGGATGTGAGAGGTTCTAAAGCAGTTCCCTTAACACAACTTATTTATTTTATTTTTTGCGAGGCTCATTTCATTTCTACTTGTGTATTTGTATGGCTCTAAAGAAGCTCTGCTCACCTCTCACTTCTGCATACTGGTTAAAGTACTATTTATGGTTTTGTGCCCTTATATATGTCGCTGCTGTTGGAACAAAACCTTGTATCTCCAAAATGGTAACTTTACAGGAGAAGGAAAAAACGTACTTTACTTTTAAAGTAAGTCAATGGAACCAGAATTTTGGGCCATTTGTTTTGGTCCATTCTTCATGAAATTTACACACAAAGTAAAAAACAACAGGTATTTTCAAATTATGTCAAAAACTGAAAAACCGACAGCAGCAATATTTTCTTACATCTAGTGAGATTTCAACCCCTTAACTTTCACTGAATTTATATGCTTGCAACAAGCAAGGAACAGTCAACAGGCCAGTTATCACGCGATCACAGGCAAAAACCGGCTCCTATGCGTTCTTTAGAGCTCCTATCTTCAGACATTAACCACACAGTTCAACATTATTTTGCCACAGAGCTGAATTCTGTGGATTTCTTTTTACAGCTACTTTCTTTACGACAAGATATTGCAGCTGAGTCTACAGGCTAATAGACAAAAAGTATCCTTTTTTAAAGAAAGGGCTGCAGCTGGGGTGGGATAATGCTTTAGACAGACAGCACCACAGGTCTGGATGGACTAGCTCAATGACAATTTGGGAAAAGAAAACAACACCCAATAGCAGCACATGACTCCCAAATAGCTTTAAAATGAGCATGGGCTCCTTTCAACAAAGGCAGCCTGTCTTGAGGCCCGAGTTCGGGTGTAAAATCCACAGAAAGTGTCTCAAAATAGCCTGACGACTTGCTAAATATAGTGAGATGACGCCTTAGGCAAGACAGGCGCTAAGGTTTATCTCTCTTTCTCCACGTGGCCAGCCTGACCACGAGAACGGACATAGTTTACCTCCACGTCCGGTGACACTTCGACCTCTAAAACGTCAGTGGACCACAACAATGCACATTGTGGTGCTTTGCTGTTATGCTGTGAATAGAGAGCATATATCTGAACTGTGGTCCACGTTTATCAACTTACAAATGCATAAGCGCAGCCAACATTGGAGATATTATTAGAGATTATTGGATATTTTGGAGATATTTTGCTGAATAACTGAAAGGTTAAGATCAGCAAAGCCATGATAGGAACTGTTTTGGATAGTAAATAAACTGTTTATATTTGTGCTGTAGATATTGTGACCCCTGGTTCCTATCACTGTAAAGAAATCAATCAATTAACGCTTATTTAACCCCTTAAAATCCCAGACGTATTACATACTAAGGCTTATTAGTCAGTAATTACAGTAAACTAGTTGAGCTATTCTTAGGTTATAGAAGTGTGCAATAAAACGTTGGGCCCACCGGTGGGCCCTGGCCATTTAAGGCCATTTAAACTTGGAGTACATTGAGGGAGACCCTTATTTACAGTGTAGCTGAACCAATACAGAAATCAGGGATTGAAGAAAAAGAAGTGAAAAAAATGAGAGTGTAAAAAGTATCAAATGCTAATAATAACAATAATAATCATGAGTAAAAGAGTAAAAACAACATTTCAATCAGAATAAACCAATAAAATAAATCAAATAGA